CTTAGTCCATTTGTAACTTTCTAAAATCAAAGTTTTAATCATCCTTTTGCTGTTTATTCCAGATTTTTTAAAAAAACTTGTATTTAAAACGTCTTTTGCTAAGGATTGAAGGAAACTCATCCGAAGCTGTAAAACTTGTTGATCCAAAGGTGAATTAATAGCTGAAAAGTAGTTAACAAGCAATTTCCAAAAGTGATTAGAAAAGGAAGTATGCAAACCCAGCGTCCTTTCAAAGGCACCAACCACGGTTTGAGCAAGATGGCTATTCCCTCATTTCCCAGAGTTCTAAACCTGCCGGAGACTGCTGTCTTGTGGGGAGCAGTGGTCTGGAGCACTTTGTGTACTGTCTATCTTTTCCTTGCCTAAGTACTGAAATGTAACTTTGATGGACAAGTTGAACCAATGAGAGCCAGAGAACATGTGAATCTTTGAAGCAACTAACATTACATGGAAACCTAAAGGCTTTGTTTTTACCTACTTGGCACTTTCACCATCCATTTTGACATGTGTTTCATCCTTTCAGCTAGACTTCAGCTTTTCCTCATATTCACATTCTGTTCATTCTTCATATTCCAGCTAACATTGAATTTAAGCTTCCCTGCTTTCTCAAGCCAAGGCTGCCCAGTCATTGGATGCAGAACCAACTTGCCTTGCATTTGAATCTAGATACATTCTTATTCTTGTTTCTTATTTTTGCTTCATGTTTACTATAATTACTGTAAAACTCTTTAAGTAAAAGGTACAAAAATGTATTCTTTGCTCATGTTTTACTACAAAATGCCTTCTTTACTTGCCTTTTGTAATATAGCTGCATCGAAGTATAAGAAAGTGGTATTTATGGTTATCTGAGACATGCATGAATGATTCAATGCTTGTAGAGGGATTTGTGAGCTAGAGACAGCATAAATGAGCTCTCAATCTGGGAATCAAAGCTTTTGGTAATAAGTTAGTTTAGGCATAGTTGAGATAGTTGGTGACTTGCTCTGTGCTCAAGGGTTTATTCCAGTTCTGCTCAGTTATCTAGTAGTGGCTTGTCCACTCTGGGCTCTGCAGGGTAACAATCCAAGAGCAAGAGCGGCAGACAGCAATACATAAGCACTATTGACAGCAGGGACACAGTGTGAAGTGCTGTTATTAAGGAAGTCTGTCAATACAGGCATTGTGCTCTGTATGACTCTCTTGGCAGTAAACTGGGAAACCAAGAATAGAGCTATACAAGGAAAGAAATATGTCAAATTGGCAGGAAGGTTTCAGAAAAGCAGAGCGACTCAAAATCAGATAACTAGCATAAAATGGATAATGGAGAGATCAGACTGATAACTGAACAAACAAAAGAATGCAAAAAGGAAATTTACATTTATATTGACTACAGCAACATATCTGACAGTATAGATCATGCTATAAAGCAGAACATATTAAGGTGCCAGAACACATGATTATTTTTCTGAGAAACAGTTATAACGAATAGAAGTTACTGTAAGAATGGCACTTGAAGAAACAGAGTGATTCAGAATAGAGAAGTGAGATAACGGTGCATATTATCCCTGTATCTAATATACTCAGCAAATATAGAAAAGTTGCAAGAGTAGAAGAAATTATAACTGGAATGAAAACAGAAGACTGAAACACTAACAGTCTGAGATAGCCAGAGAATACTACTTTATTAGCTAAAGAAGACACAGAACAGCTCGGGGGGCGGGGGGAACAGAAAGTGAAATATCCAGGTTAATGTTTAATATTAAGAAGACAAGATTAATTTTAGGCAGGAAAGCAATTACCATCTCGGACAAGATCATGAAATACACATATATTTCTATGACAACATTAATCAAAATAGTTAAAGCAGTGGTGTACCCAGACATAATACACAGCTATGAAACTGAATACTGAAAAAGTATGAGAGAAAGTAGATATCTTCAAATTATGGATTTGGAAAACTAAGTAAGAGTACTAATGGACTGCAAGAAGAACCAATCACTCTATGTTGGACTAAAAGGACTGACTGGTCCTGTGTGATTATGCTCAGCAAGCAGAAATTCACATACTTTAGACTTGTGATGCAAGTGGATAATGGACCAAACCCAAACCCAACTACACTCACTAAGCTTGAGGGAAATGCAAGAATAGGAAGACAATAGATATGGTGGATGTACAAGATCAATGAAATTATTAGAATGTCCTTAAAGAAGCTACAGGTCTAAGGAATGTCAGGATGGTGGATATTTGTCATAGATGCATCAGGATTCATACTGGATTCAGTGACATCTAATTAATATTAAACATCTCTGGCAAATTAAATATTCTATCCTTACCATTCTTAAGCACTGCTGAGAGAAGTTGTGGTTGATGTAGGTGGCTTCCATAGCAAGGTTGCGAGGTGAATTGAAAGAATTGCCCTCATCCTGTGGTGGTTCATTAGCAGTTTCACTCACTGTAAGAAGATCTGAGAATACAGCCAAATGCAAGTATCATCAGAAAGTTTAATATCTCATCTGTAGAAAACAAAACTATTCAATACTAAGATAGCGAATCTTAAAAATTAGAACACTTTGATTCTTCTCAGACACTGCTTACTCCAGATGTCCACTTTCCCTCTTTGATACAGAGAAATTACAAGGCCATCACTATTGCCTTGTTTTTTTGCAATACATATATGCAAAGACTCACCAAAATCAGAGTTATCTCTTTTGTCAAAGAACAGCTTGGATCCAACTCTTTGGACTATGATATCCCAGGAATATACTGAACGAGTGCAAGCCATGAGGGTGGCTAGGATAGCATCTGTAGCAAATACGTTCCCTTGAGTTTTGGCCAGCTATGTACAGAGAAAAGTCACATGGGTAAGAGTAGGAATGTATTGCCCAGACTAACAAAAGTGAACTGAATTCCCATCTACTTTTCCTAGTTTATCAGTGGTCCGTGCCTCCATTTCCAGCAATTCAAACTCAAGAGAGAAAAAAGACAGATGATTTCAGAATATTTTTCTAAAATATTGAGGGAAATGAAAAAAATATCTGCCATTCTATTTCCCTCAATTTCAACATTATTGTAATATTTGTTCCTTTTACATTTAAGAATTTTGACTGGTGAAGGACAGAAATGGGAAATTTGTTAATTAAATTTATATGGCACCCGTCTCCCCCAGAGGGTGACTAACCACCTGCCAGATCAACTATTTAGCTTGTTAGTTATCCCACTATCTTTCCAAGATTCACAGAAATTATAAATTCTCTCGACTATTATCAGTGTAATAAATACAACTCATTATCCACAAATCTAGTACAGTGGTACCTCGGGATACGAACGCCTCTGCTTGCGAATTTCTCGGGTCACGACCAGCTCTGGCCCCAAAATTTTACCTCGGTTTGCGAACTCCGCCCCGGGGTACGAGCCATTTTCCGCCTGTGCCACGTGGTCCGCGGCCATTTTCTGCCCGTGCCACGTGTTCCGCGGCTGTTTTTCCGGCCGCGCCGGGCTGTTTTCGCGCCGCGCCGCGCTG